GACTCAATATATCGTGGTCATTCTCTCATGAATCTCGAGACTTTCATAAGTCCGTAGCGCCATCTATTGATACTCGTTTTATTCTTTGGTTAGAGTACATCTAACAGAAATTTGTTTGTTTACATGGCTATAGGTGTACAGTAACGCCACCACTCGCAGCACGTGGGTTTCGGCATATCTTCTATCTCTCTCTGATTCGTGCACGAGCCCTGATCAAATGTCAACAACAGTCTGCTGACTGCTTCTTGATTTTCCAATGGCTAAAAATTACATTTTTTTTAAAGCGAAAAAAGTATATACATAAAAGTATATAGAGTGGAATTATATCTTTGCAACTCAACATAGTGTTTCATAATAAAGCTATGAAGAAGTTGCAATAGCTTGTTATAAAAATGTGACATTTTTAGCAGTTCTAATTCAAGAAATACAGAAGTACATATGTAAATTGACATATATACATCAGTGTATATGTATGTCACTGTACTTTATGTATGTGCATATGACTATATCATATATATTATTGCATGTTGCATGTGATGAACAAGATAAGTGATAATTGATCAACTTGTAGTGATTTATTTCCAAGTATCTAGTGATAAATATTTTATGAATGTTAGTGAATACGTAGAAGACTGGGTTCAAGTTCTAATGTGAGATTGTGTATATTTGTGTGAAAAGTTGATTTGCACATAATCAACTTAGTTACCAGTTTCTCCATAAAACCCATATTAGCGTATACTAACATTTTAGTACAACTTATAAAATGTAGTAATGAAATTGGCGCATTTGGCTTTGTCTGGCTGTCTGGGGTAATTGAACATTGTCCTTGTGGGTCCAATATGTTGAAAATTCAAATTGAATTACTGTTCTTTATCGTCCAAAAAGTTTTAAGCAGCCTCAGTGACATGAGAGTGTCATTATGACTTATATTGATGCATTTTGGTTTTTTTCAACTCTTGGGCAGTTATGTTTTATCTCAAAATTGCTTTGTTGCCGTAACTTTTCATGTAAACCGTTTGAGCAAATGAGCTGAAATTTTCAGGGATTGTTCTACATGAGAATGGCTACAAACGCAAGCACTTTCAAAGGTATTGGGACAAATGAGCACTTTTTTCAGGCTACGATGTAGCATCATCTGTCATTTTATCATATGTATTAATGAATAAATGTGTGTATGTGATCTGATTTATAAAAAACAGAAGTTGGCCGAATTGCTGTTGGAAAATGGCGCTAATCCCAATTATACTAATAGGGACGAGGATACTTCTCTCCATATTGTATGCAAAATATCTAGCGACCCTTATGACTTGGCAAAGATGTTATTCGAGCGCAGTGACAAAAAATGTCAGCCGTTGGACATCAACGCTCAGAACGAGTTCGGTCAAACACCACTACATTTGGCTCTGGCTAACGGCCACATGCGGCTGTCCGAACTGCTGTTGAGAAATGGCTCCGATCCGAATTCGGCCAACAGATGGGGATCAACTCCTTTGCACACAATTTGCATGAGAAAAAATGACGACGAAGAGTTGGCGAGGATGTTATTCGAGCTGAGCGACGGAAAGTACCATCCGGTAAAGATCGACACACGGAACCATAAGGGCCAGACACCTCTACACTTGGCTCTTTTAAACGAGAACGAGAGAATCACCGAGTTGCTCCTCAGAGCAGGCGCCGACCCCAATATAGTCAACGAGGATAGAACCCACCCTCTGCATATTATTTGCAAGACATTCTGGTATGACGACATGATCGAGCTATTCTTCCAGATCAGCGAAGAAGTCAATCGGACGCGAGTAGTAGAAGTCGATGCTCGGGACATGTTTGGAAACACGCCGTTGTACTTGGCTCTGCGCGACTGGGAAAGTAGTAAAATTAAAAAAAAAAAACTTACTTTTTGTGATAATAACTTGCTGCATGAACAGAACTCGGAACACGTGGTCGAAATTGAGAGTATTTTTTCAAGAAAATCACTTGTAGCCGTCGTCTTTTTTCAATGCTCACTGGTTGACGTCTTAACGTGGACTGACTCCGCACATGCAGTGGAGATATCTGTACGAAGCGAATTCAAAAGCACGTGCTCGGAAGAACGCGAGATTTTTTTTAGGCACCGTACAAAGTGTCCACCTCAGAACTGCCCACGTCGAGTAAAATGTACACAAACAAACTCTACACAAATATTTTGTATATGTTTTTACAATTATTGTACACGGTTAAATTGTACACCGTTAATATGCAGAAAAATCATACACAGTCAAACTTTACACGAGTATTGTGATAAATAGCACGAATTAATTTTACACGATCAAACTCTACACGAACGCTGTGCTCTAAAATCGTAAATTATTTGTACACGGTCAAATTCTACACGTGTTCGATGATCAAAGTAGAAAATAATTTATACACAAATAAACTCTACACAACATTTTTTGTCCACAGACAAATTCTATCCGAGTCCGTCGTTGTAAGAAGTAATATATTTTACACGGTCAAACTGTACACAATTTTTTTATACACAGACAAACTCTACACACTTATAGTGCGTAAAATTAATAGTGACCTTCTTTAAGATACAATTTGTTGTGTATTTTCTCGTGTACATCATTAGATGGCGCCATGTTTACCCACCTGTTAAATGGAATTAAGCTAACTACTTGTTTTTTTTTTTATTTTTTTTAATACGATATCACCTTATATCATTAATTTTCGTTAAATGCTTTTTATGACTATCCGATAAATAATAACGTGATGAAAAAGTTTCAATTTCAAATAATAGCAATAAAATTCAATGTTACCGATATAAATTTTGGAAAAAATTTTTAAATACATAAATGTGCAGCTCTGCACTTTGTGTTGAATAATAAGGTAAGTGACTAAAATTCATTAATATATAAAAATTAAATATTCACGAAATTACATTAGAGAAACAATATAGTATTTAGAATCACGCACATTTTATAGAAATTCAATTAAAAAATGGGAAAAATACACATAATTGAAAATAATATTCGAATGTTATCTATTTCGTCCTTTTGAAAGTAGCTCTGTGATAGACTCGGAAACGAGGTTTCGTTTCTTTTTGCCAGATTCAAGTTATTTCGTTTTTCGAAAATTTGTGTGATCAATGTGTTTGAATAAAGACTTCTTGTCTAGAAACGAAAAAATTGGAAAAGTAGTTATCATTTTCACGGTGAAAGCTATTTGCTCATGAATTACCAGCGGTTCTTGTCTGATGGACAAATTTGAATTTTTTTTTTGTTTTTAACAAGGGATTAGTTATTTTCATTTACATTAATGCGTAAAAATAACAAGCATATTTACAGCAACACGAAGTTCTTTATTAATTAGCACTATTCAATGAGCAGCAGTTTCAACTATATTTAAACAATAAATGTTCAAACTTACAAGGTGTTTTTTAGATAGCACTAAGCTTACCAATGTATATTGAACGAACACAGGTGGCTACATTGATAGAAAATTCGAGCATAAACGGGATGGTGAATTAAATTCTGACAACTTGTATTTATCTTCTTGTAAACCTTTACTAAAAAATTATTTGTAAGCAAATATTAATAGTATTGATTATATATTAATAATAATATAATAATAGTTATAGTAAGGTAATATTAATAAGCTAAAAAAAATATTAAGCCTATAAATATTACAAGTCAGTATTTAATGCAAAGTTCGTAAAAAAACAACCATTAATCCCAATATCGTAATCTTATTTCATCTTTCAATTAAAGTAATCGATGTGATATTTTTCTATAGATTGTAAGAAAAAAAGTTGCACATTATAAGAAACACAATATTTTTATTAAATAATTGTTCACGAAAATTATGAAATCGAAGCTGAAAATCTGTTTTTTGAACGGAAAAATTTAATTTCTATTCGGCACAAAAAAAAATAGAAAATGATTTCAAATTTAGATAAATATATGTTTCAGATTTTTTTTACAAAATGAATTTTAAATAAGGCATGTTATTTGTTTATAAAAATTATTTAGTTTTTCAATTTCTTTTTGGACTTGAACTATTCAATTGCTTAAACTTTGAATTTATTTTCCATTTATTCATAGATACTCTGCATTGGATTTTTCGCGATCTAGTTTTGAATTATTATAAAATTTAATTTTAAATTTCATTCCATTTCGTTCATATATTTTCATATGAATAGCAACCTCGACTTATACATCCTCAATTTATGTAAGAATTTAACATGTTGAACGAATTGTTAGATTTAATTTTTCATCGATATTTTTGGACTGAAAGTCTCGGTATGAGTATCAAGTCTAACGTGGTCTACACTGCCACTACCTCAAGTAATGCACGAATGTTTAAAGTATTAAAATGAAAAAATTTCATATGTAATGAATTACGTGTACTCATCGCGTGGAGCTACAAATCTACAAGGATATTGTGTCATCGTTTAACCAAGTAACTCGCACAAACTTGTGCAGCACCAGTAAGGCAAGCGAGAGCGAGAGGAACGAAGATAAAAGACGCTACATGGGAAGACGCTTTAAACGCATGAGCGCCAAGCTGTATTCGGTCATGCTGCGCGTAGCGGTATAGAAGGGAGTGTGAACCCATGTTCGTTTACACAGCGGAAGGCTAGCAAAGAGTAACAGAAGTACGAAACTTCCGAATCATCATTCAACTCGCCACCGCATTTCAATCATTAACCGCTGCGGATATCAAATACTGCTTTCTTACTCGTCACATGTAAACATCGATCATAATAATATAACGTCCGACGAAACTTAACGAATCCTATGCGTTGAACAAGACTCAACAAAGGTATCTCACTCTCCCTCTTTCCCTATTTATCTTGCACATCGCACTCCAGTACAAGCACACTGACCAATTCTGAGTGCTTAACACTTACATGCGTGCATATTTCAAAAAAGTATCTTAGTGGAATCTTAAAAATTTTTAATTATTAAAATGATTATTTTTATAGAAGAAAATATAACTTTTTTTCAATGCGGTAGCACAAAATGAATATCATTATTGAATTAATAATATGACGAGAGATAAGTATATAAATTAAATAATAAAAATCATTTAAGAAACAATTATCGACTTTTGTACATTTGAATAATTCAAACATCGCGCGGAAAATTGAAGCCCTTACTTTCTGCTCCCTCATGTATTAGCCAATCGCCGTCGTATCTGTCGTGTAACTCAACTGCCGACGTCGTTCGATGATCGTCGCACAGCGCGCGGTTAGCACAGAAGTGACCTGCCATCTTTTCTCCACAGTGCCGATTTCTTTTGTTATAAAGTTAGTGAAAAATATCAAAAGAGCCATTTTGTCTGACATTTATCTGATAAGCCTGCCTATCCTGCCATCGTTCCTCCACAGTGCAGATTTCTTTTGTTATAAAGTTAGTGAAAAATATCAAGTGAGCCATTTTGTCTGCCATTTGTCTGAAAAACCTGCCCATCCTGCCATCGTTCCTTCACAGTGCAGATTTCTTTTGTTACAAAGTTAGTGAAAAATATCAAGAGAGCCATTTTGTCTGCCATTTGTCTGCCATTTGTCTGGTAAGTAAAAAAAATATCTTTTTCATTTAACTTAACGCAGAAAAACAGCTCCGTTAAAGCGCGAAATACACGAGTCCGTTGTGATATTCGTTCAATTATTGAAAAATGTCCCTACATAGTTAGGACGTAAAGTTAAAAATGCAGTATATTTTTTGAGGTTGGCTTTTTTTTTGTAAATTTTATATCATTTACTAAAAAGCATTGTTAAGTCATAGGCAACAACGCGATTTGAACTCACCACTTCGACTGATTTTGTTATATTTCTCATTTTTCGTATTTCTTAAAATTACTAAACACAAATGATAATGTTGTATTTTCTTTTTCAACTTTTTCATGATTGATATAAACGATTATTTTTAGAATGTTGCGCTGTAGCGATTCCCTCAATTAAAGCTTTCATTTTTAATAAATATTTGATTTATATTTTACGCCAGTTCGATAAAATGAAAGCAAAAGTTCGTATTTTTTTCTTCCAAAACGTAATGTAAAATCAACTCCGTTCGCGCATTTCATTCAGGAGTGAACTTGTTAGAGGCAGGTTGGCGCTCACATTTTTGCAAAGGCTGCGTCATATAACTGTGCCTCTCTCGCTTGCTCGCCAGGTTCGCACCATTATTGCTTATATAACTATCTTGTTCAAAATATTAATGTACATACAGCTCGCGATTGTTAACAACTCTGAATCCAAGTTAAAATCTACATTTTTTAATTGATCTTCAAATCCCAAATTATATGCGAAGCTTGTTGAGGTTTTATCGAGCAACGCGCACGAGCCACTAACTTTATATATGGCTCAAAAAAGCAAGCGTCGTTATTATAAGAACACAGTTATACTCGACATCAGCGAAATTGTGTGCGTCAGGCAGAAGCAGCATGTGCCATTCTCGCTATAGACGCTTCGTGCGTTGCTGTTAGCCAGCCTTCGGTAGTTCCGAGAATCAGCTCGCTCCCCGCTACTGCAGAAAATAACACGGGACTCTACCGCTCTACCTCATTGCTTCTGAAACGGCCATTTACCGTCGTGTATCTCTGTCTCTGTTTCTCTCGCTGGTTCTACTGCCTTATTTCCGATCAGATACATGTTCGTGTATGTTTCTCGATTACAAAACAACACATAATATATTGCTCACGATTCTGTAACTTTGTGCACATGTTTAGATTCATAAATAGTGTACGATCGTTTATGAATATGCGTCAAAAAATGTTTTTACTCATCTCTTATTTATGTTAAGATTATAAGTCATTATGAAAAAAACGTATAAGACTTCTCAAAAATAGAGTCTCTCAAGCGTCATGTACATATAACATCGGCGTTCTAAAGGGACAAAATTCCGTCCACTCGATCTAGTTGTTGCAAGCGTAACTCTGTTTTTCTCACGCACGCTTGCCTTGCTCGCCTCGTTTTTTTTTCGCGCAGGTATATAGATCGGCCCAAACGTAGACAAATACATAGCTTGTGCTCACTCATAGTTTCGCGCAAATGTGCAGACTCAAAGATCGTAGAGTATGCATTCATATTGACACATACATACAAAAATTTGCATAGACTTTTGTAAAAATGTATTAAAACATATCCATGTGTTACGTAATGTACATAATTTTTAACATTATTTTTATCGTAACTACTTGAATTTGTTTGTAGGCTGCTGAAGTAAACTAAGCTGCCGCAGTCTTGATATTGACTCGGTGTTAAACTACATAGAAAAGACCGAATTGTTATTACTTTATAACACTTGAAGGACTAATTACATAATAATATTTAATCATAAATATTAACAAGATCATTTGATACACTTACATTCAACCATATGTGCGAAGCTATTAGCGAGCGCGAGTTACGTAGATACTTATTTGTTTAGTAACCATGGCTGAACACAGTTTCTGACGCATGAAACTCCCGAGCCACGCAGCCTGGCGTAGCCTTGACGCTGCGTTTTGAACTCGCAGCGCCAAAAGCGAGTGAGCAAGTGAACTCTCGACACTACAGTAAACCAGCCAAACGCAGTGCGCGGAAGAATGTCTCTAACATGAAAAATTGAAGTTTCTACAATTATAATGCACGCTCATTTTTAATTCTCTGGTTCTCTCGTTAGATATATCCGATGCGGTTACAGAAGTTGATGATATAACAATTCTTCTGGATTTTTAGGGGACTTAGTCCGCGAAAAACGATCAAGCGAGCTCAATAATCATAGATTTCGTGCCTCAGGGGCTTTTTGTGGCTTCGAGCGTTGCTTGGCCGGCGATCGACGCCTATACATTGCCGAGTCAGTTCACTCCCCTCTAATGCAGCAAGTGGCACGAGCGCCGACTGTTCGACGCCCATGCCTCTGAAACAACGAGATCGCATTATGTATCTCTATCTCTTTCACGCTCGTATCCCTCGCTTACTTTGAGCAAGTTCATGCGTGTTGCTCAGTCAAACACAACGCATATTATTGGCCTATAAGCTTATAAAACTGAACTTAGCTTCAAATTTTTCGAAACTTTTACCGCTATGGTTACACACTATTAATGTTAAATTTTTTTTTTTTAATGTCTAATATTTTTTTTCTGTGTTGTTCCGAAAATAAAAACATTATACGGATTTTGTTCATATGATAGTAATCAAAAAAACACACATCAATAATGTACGTTTTCCTTTTCGATATTTGAAACTTTCGCAAATTCATCACCAATAATCGATGTCTTTCCCTCAAGGCTCAACATATTATCTCCGTGACAATCCCGAAAATTAAGATTTTACATAAAGTTAAATGATGATGTACAAAACGTGCGAGTAAAATAAAGTTATGGATTTTGCTAATTTCCGAATTGTTAAAATTTTGACAGTCTAAACTTCACGAAATATGCTGACCTTCATAACAGTGTCTTGTAACTATTTTCCCGTGTCGATAAACAGTATCAGAAACTCAAAATACATATATGAGTAATTTATTTCTCTAATGCATGATATTTCAAGATATGTACAAGCAGGATGAAAATTCGTCTCAAGCTCATTCAGAATTTATAAAAATGTTTACAAATACGAACTTCTTCATAAAAGATAAAGTTTATGATTGAAAGTCTTGTTGTTTTTCGTGAAAATTTACGCAGTTACAAAGACTTTGCTAGTGTACATTGAGCTGTGAAAAAGCGCATAAGAGAGAAATTACTTTTACCATTGGAAGTTTTCTGAATTTAAGAAATTTTTTTAGAAACTTAATTCTCAAAATAATTATTCTAAGTCTTGTGATTATTTTTATAAGACTTTCCGAGGCTTAAAAGTGTATGGGTACTTGGTTGATATTTTTTAATCATGAATTTAACGAAAAACACTGATTATTTTAATTTCATTTGATGTAACATTTTTATACATTATTCCGGCACGTATTATTTCTTAGGTACTTGGTTTTTAGTATCACAATGCAAAAAATACTCAAACGCGAATTCAACTTTGATACAAGTTACTCATATGATTTATGATAATCTCACATAGCTGAAAATATCATAGTATTAAAAATTTCTGTATGTATCGTTATATCGTAAATTATTAATTTTTATAAGTAATTATAGTCTTTTATTCATGTTTCGATCATGTTGAAGTCATTTCATAAATCTAAAACGATTTTAGAAAATTTCGATTTTTTGATAATGTTGAACGTTTGAAACTTGACACTCATAGTTTGAAATATGTTTCTCAACGTCTCCTAACTTTTGATCTTGCTGCTGTTTGAAACTTTACAAGAGCTTGATTTGAAGATGAAAGATATTATTAAGAGATCGAGAGATATTATTAAGATTTCGAAAATCCGAGTTTGAGTAAACTTATTCAGGGGTATTTTAGTATCAAAACGAATATTCTCTGAAATTTGTAGCTTTCGTTTTGCTAATGCAGAGACTGGAAAAATGTTTTCCCTGAATATTTATCAAATGCACGACTTCTATTGCACGGGGTTGTTTTTCTGCAATATTACTGAAATTATCACTTTTTTTGTTACCCAAATTTTTTTTAAAATTGCTATATCCCATTTTCAGGTATATATTACTAATTTGATCATGCCTAGAGTGAGTATATTTTATTAGTTATTAAAAAAAAAAAAAAATGAAATATTGAACAATTAAATCGAATTAATTAAAGTTTCAAATGAAATAAGTATCATTTTTTTTTGTAAAATTGTATAGCTGATTCGTTATCCTGGCCAATCTAAAAATCACAGTTTTTTTTACGATGGATTTTCATACCACTGTGAATGGTCAAGAAATGACCGAGTTTTCCGATGCAGCAGAAGAAAAAAATTTCACTGCCCAGGAAAAGTCACAATCTTGGACGAGGACCTGAACATTGATGAAAGTAAAACAACAGCGCACTATGGTCATGAACCAGATTTGCTTTTTTTGGAAAAGATGGCATTCAAACGCGAACTGTTTAGACGTTGCCAAGAAACAAGTGAATCATTAATAAATATATGGAATAATATGTCATTGGAGTATGTGTAAAATATTCAGAAAATAAATTTATACGTTAAAAATGAATATAATAACACCCTGAACATATTAGGTTTCCAGATATTGCAATTCATTACCCTCACACAAGATTATGGTCTTCTATGAATAATTATAGAAGATTAAGAGCGCCGAAGATGCCAGAAAATCTTCGCGAATTAGCCGAAAGAGTCGGTCAATATGATCCAATTAAAAATATGTATATCGGGCATTGCGAGGACGCTAATGGTGGAATTGCACTAATGTTCATGCATTCCGACATGCGTGAGCCATTGAAGGAGTGCACGGCATTGTATGGTGATGGCACCTTCAAGGTAATAAAGTTATTCGAAATTAATAATAAATTTATAGTAGCTTGAAACTCGATTAACATATTGTGCTATATAATTTTTATAGATCAGGCCAAATAATCCACGCGATATTGCGCAAGTATATACTTTTCATCTGATGAAAAATTTGTCGGTAAGCTAAAATTTTTATTCACGTTCATTAATTTCAAATAACTTCCATCTAATTTGACACCGTTATTGTATATACGATAAAATTTTTTTTAATTTTATTCAACGACTTTTGAATACATATAAAAATAGTTAAAACTGACATTTTTAATGTACGACGTTAAAATTTATTGAAATTGACCATACATAAAGAAATCAAGATCAATCATACCACTTGGTAGTGTACTCTAGTTTTCAATTCGACATCTAACTTCTTTCAAGTTTATTTTCGTTACCTTATATTAATCATTTTCATGGGGGTTCGAGCACACACATATATGATAAAGTAGCAAATTTTAATGACCAAACCTTTTTACCAAAAAAAACTTAGAACTTTCGATATTTATGCAACTTTTTTGATGGATTTTTCAGTAAATTATTACTCGGATATTATATTACATATTTTACAAGTCCCTGGATTAAGTTTTATTACTATTTTTTGATTGATCGAATTCAACATGGAATAGCGAAAATAAAAACTGTAGAAGTTGTAATAATTTCAATAAAATTTGACGAGGAACATATAGAAATGGTTATTGATAGTATAATAAAGCTACCAATAATGACATTTAATTTTTTTAAAGTTCAATGTTAATTATATAATTTAGGTTTTGATAATTTGAAAGATTTAATTCTTTTAACATTTATTTGAAAAATTACTGTAAATGTACATGTAGTGTAATTGTTATCCCTTAATTTAATTTTAATTTGTTTTGCTTTTACTGCCACATAAATCTCTTCAATATGCAATAGAAAATACATTCAAGAAAAAGAAAAACCTAAATAAAACATTCAGACTTAATCTTTTACGAATTGTTAAAACTTCACGTACAATGGGTTTTCGAGCGTTGTAATGGAGTTGAAAAATCCGGTATGGTTTTTTTATAAATTATATCGCGAGATATTGGACTCAATCTTTTAAATTTTTTAACTCAAAAAATCAAACACTTGACGAAAAAAAAAGTTGACGTATTTTCAATAAATTCTGAACCCTTGAACGCAAAACTTTTTTTTTAACTAAAAATTAGTTTATAAAATAATATTCAAGTACAAGCTACCACAATAAGTTAAAATAGAATTGATTTGATAGTCATTCAGCTAGTCATTATAATACATTCTAGTGATGTAAGGAAAACGAGAAAACTAAAAGTGAAAAAAAGTAAAAATAAATTAGGAGACACCGACATGCATAATTATATCTATTAGTGAAGTCTATTTAAACGTTTCATAAATTTATAGGGGTTCCCGGCATTTTTTTTCCTTACTAATTCAAGAACTGCAGACTTGTACAAAGCTATGCTTCGTCAGATGATTCAAGTAATTCCCGAGTTAGCTAATTTAAAGAGTATAAGCACGGATTTTGAGAGGTCAATAATTACCGCCGTTAGAGAAGTGTTGCCGAATGCACGATTGAGTGGTTGCCTGTTCCACTACATGCAAGTAAGAAAACATCCAATAAGTTCTATTTGAAGATGCAACGAATTTTTTTCTAATATCTCATCAATTTTCAGGCTTTGCGTAGATACTGGTACTGGAAATGTCGTATTCCAGATGAATTTCATAATATTCTGGAATATGCGATGTCACTAGCTTATCTTCCAGCAGAAAATATGGAAGCAGGCTTTAACGTCGTCATGGGGCTGATGAATTACCACAACGTTCCAAACGCAGATCGTTTTAATACGTACTTTAGACGTCAGTGGCTTCCACTCGCAAACGTTGTTAGCGTTTATGGAAGACGCATTAGAACCAACAACATATGCGAGAACTTTCATCTGCATGCCAAAACTTTTATTGGTGTAAGACAAGGTTTATGGCTTATGCTAGGTAACTAAAAAGATACTGATTATTTGATCTACATTAAATAATCTACATTAAACAAACCTATTTCATTAAATTTATGTTTTTTATAGAGAGATTGGGAAAACTCGCACAACTTTTTACTATTCGATACAAGACAGCGGTGCAAACTGGCCTTTTGTATTGGAGCTGGCCTGCAGATCTGTTACGTGCCAACCGAGATCTTGACGCGATGGAACCAACCCTTCAAGAGTAAGTTGAAACTTTCATCGACTAATATAGAGTCAAATAATAAAGAATCATTATTAATTAATTTTTCTTATTATTATCATTATTATTTATTTTTTTTATTAAAGAATTGGAGTTCGGGCTTATTTAGAGTTTGTCGTTCGTCAGCGTCGAGGAACGTTTTTGCCAGAGAGTGAGTAAAATTTTTCTACGTAATATGTTATCCAGTATTATGTATTTCGCAATAAATATTGAATATTTTATCCAGTCGAAAATGACAATGGGGACGAAAATGAAAATTACGAAGAGGATGATACTTTGGTTGATGAATTACATCGGATCGGCCTCAACGTATTCATTGCTCAGGATGAAACAGGTAACATGACAATTTATATATATATATATATATATATATATATGTGAGTGTCACTCAATTCCTATGTTGCTTGAAACTTACTGCTTTTTAAAATTTACTACTTTTTATAATTTTTATAATTCGTTTATTTTATTCAACTTAGGAAACGAGTTTGAAACAGGCGTACCTCCAAACCAACCAATTCGATTGGCACCTGTTCAAGTTCGACTACAGGATCTGCCTGACGATGCCGAGCTCAATAATCCTTTCGCTCCAAACCGTAGGGGTAGAGGACGGGGCAGAGGATCAGCTAGAGGAGGAGCAAGAGGCGCTAGAAGAGGAGCAGGCGGAAGAGGAGGAAACAGAGGAGCAGCAGCAGGAAGAGGAGGAGCCAGAGGCAGGGGAGTCGCAAGAGGCACAGGCGAGAGAGGTGCAAGAGGTCGAGCGAGAGGTGCAAGAGGTCGAGCGAGAGATGTAATTTTACAAGACCATCAACCTCCAGATGCAGTAGATCTAGCAGGTGTAGAGGCTCCACTTGCATTGAATGTAGATAATGTAATACCGGCTGCCCAGGGTCCACCTGCTTTGGTTGAAGAACTTCCAGCTGCAATAGCTGGGACTGCAGAGGCTCCACCTGCATTTGCCGCACCTATAGTAGCTGCAGTAGAAGAAGCTCAACTTGCAATAGCTCAACCTGCAATGAATGCGATGGATGCAGTAGAACCAGTACTGGAGCAAGTAATTTTTAATCAGCGGGAACAATCATCTAATATGATAAATGACGTCAATCCAAATGGTAAGAAGTCGTTTGTCTGTTCGTTTTCATATGTGTACTTATAGCAGTTTTGAAGAAATGAATTTGATTTATTATGTAGGAGGAAACGGGCGAGAGCAGAGTTCAGAGGAAAATTTAAATCGTATAGACGATAGTGGTAAGTTTCTATAACATCGTTTATAGTTCTCCGTTGATTTTATTTGTTTTATTTTTTCCTGAAGCAGAAGAAACGGAAAATATAGATGATCTATTTCCTGATACAAATGTGTTGAATCATACAGACAGTTTAAATGAAAGTGGTAAGACATCGTTGGCCTACTTGTATTTTTCACATTGTAATTTTTAATAAATTGAATTTGATACTTCAAGTAGAAGCAACAGCAAATGGACAAGAACAACGTTTGGAGGAAGATTCGAGTAGTAAGTGTTTATCATTTAGTCTGCAATTTTTACATAACTCCAATTTTTTTCAATTTCCTATTTTTCAGACGATGAAATTAATATTAACGGCGATTCAGTTTTGAACGCAAATTTGATGGATAATGCAAGTAATATTAATGAAAATTGTAAGACTCTGTTTCGATTACTTTAAATTGATGAAAAGTTTCTAAGAAACATTTTTTTTAGTTTATTCTGAGAATAATCAACACGAGAACAATCCTATTCGCTCGGTTGATGAGATACTGGCTGAAATCGGTTCAGAAAACCAATTCTGTTTAGAAAACAACCCCGGGGAAGCTGATGAACGACCAGTAGCAAATGAAATTCGAAGTGTTCGGGTGTCGTACTTCGAAAGAAGATTCGGGAACAATTCTCAGAGAAGAGAAGGCGAAGCTTCTCATTCGGCAGAAGAGCCACCAGTAATAATAGTGCATTAAATATTAATTTCTAGCGCTTTAATAAATAAATATTATAATATTTTTATTAACAGGTTACTGATAATCATGCAGCAGCTAATGAATCTTCTGTCGACAATAATTCAGTGGTACCGAAAAAGAAGCGTAGGAGAACTCCCCGTTCAAGTAACTTATTTTTGAAATATTATTATTTTTTTATTAACTAATAATGCATATGATATAATTGTATTTTAAAACTTTTACAATATAATGATCTTAGACATTTTTAGTTTATTCAAAATATCAAACGGAAACCTCGGTGAGTCTTTTAATATATAATTCATGTAGAAGTTAAGACGATTCAGCTGTTTTGGTAACTTATATATTTTTATTGTTTTTAAACTATATATGCAACAAATCATTGGTGCGTAATATTTGGTTTTACAATTTTACGCCTTACTAGATGTTTCAAACGCGCCCCGTGCTTGTCAATTTTTTTATTCGTGTTTTGAGATTAGTTTAAGATTCGTCGTCAGTGTCAGCCAATCAGAGGTCGTTTCACACGACTTCACTTTTCGGCGGTTTTCTTTTTTATAAGTAACAAATAAAAAGAAAAAATCAGAAGATCTATTTTGTAAATGCATAAAGTATTCAAAATTTGTTCCATGCTATAATAGATTTTATTTTTTCTGCACAAAATGTAATATTATTCTAATCCCAATGACCATGGTTTTAAAGTTGTGGGGCCCATGTCTTTGGACCGACTTTCTTTATCAACTAATGGTCATTTTGTGGAACTAGAATGGGGTTCATGTTTCTGAATCAATTCAAAGTTCCACTTGGGATGCGAATGAATTACATTTTTTTTAATACTTCGAATAAAAGATTTAAATTTTGGTATAAATTTTAAATGAATACTTTTTTCTTTACTAATAGATTTGGAATAGGTTTAGAAATGAAGTCGTCCTTAATTTCAAAAAATTGCGACTAAGGAAATAATTATAGATTGATTAATGAGTTTGTTAGCATTAATAAATTTATATTGAAAAATTTCAAAAGTTTCTCATTACACATTGTAATATTACGATTTACAATTTTATGCCTTATCTATAGGGCGTTTTCCAATTGTCACAAAAAGGTCACTTTACGGCTTTGCCTGGAGGCAAAATAAACAAGGTTTTACATTTGCTTAACTTACAACACCTTGCATATTTTACCTCCAGGCCAATCGTAAAGTGACCATTTTGTGATAATTGGAAAGTCCCCTATTGCGTAAATTTATTAAGTATTCGAAATTTGTTGAATATTATAATACACTTTGATATTTCTGCACAAAATGTAATATTATTCCAATCCCAATGTCCTTGGTTTTGAAGTTGTGGGGCCCATGTCTTTGGACCGACTTTCTTCATAATCTAATGGTCATTTTGTGAAACATGAATAGGGTTCAAGATTCTGAATCGATTCATAGTTCCACTTGGGAAGCGAAGTAATTACATTCTATATAATAATTCAAATGAAAGATTTAAATTTTAAATGAATACTTCATTATTTACCAATAGATTTTGAATAGTTTGGAAACTAAAAGTCGTTCTTAATTTTAAAAATGTTACTAGGTAAATAATCATATATCAATTAATGAGCGTGTTAGCATTGGTAAATTTATAATGAGAAATTCCAAAAGTTTCTCATTTCACATTGTACTATCTAGATATACAATTTTATGCCTTATCTATAGCGTAAATTTATCAAGTATTCAAAATTTGTTGAATATTATTATAGACTCTATTATTTCTGCAGAAAATGTAATAATATTCCAATCCCAATGACCATGGTTTTGAAGTTGTGGGGCCCATGTCTTTGGACCGACTTTCTTCATAAACTGATGGTCATTTTGTGAAACATGAATAGGGTTCAAGATTCTGAATCGATTCATAGTTCCACTTGGGAAGCGAAGTAATTACATTCTATTTAATTCAAATGAAAGATATAAATTTTCTATTTAAATTTTAAATGAATATTTTGTGAAACATGAATAGGGTTCAAGATTCTGAATCGATTCTAAGTTCCACTTGGTACGCGAAGTAATTACATTCTATTTATAAATTTCTGTTTAAATTTCAATGAATACTTGATTTTTTACCATTAGAATTGGTATAGGTTCGAAACTAAAAGTCGTCCTTACTTTAAAAAATTGCGACCAAGTTTTTCGACTTCAAAAATTGCGATTCAATTTTTATAGGGATTGCATTGGTTTATGGATGATTTGTTTTTATACTTGATTTTTTATGCGCTAGGGTTCAAGTCTTTGGGTTGATTATTTTTGAAAATTTTTTAAAACACGATAATTTAGCATTTGCACATTTTATTGTACAGAAAATTGTACCTTATTGAAAGCATAATGATCTAATCATTTTTTAAAAGTTTTATTTATATGTAAAATATTTGTATTAGCATATTTTTTTCTAATATCTTTCTTAATTTTATTATTTTACTTTTCCACAGAATGTGAACTGCTCGGGTGTGAAGGAAAATTTCATGTCCTGAAGTTACTTTGCAAACACCGGTTTTGTGTACCGTGTATCAAAAATTTTCTAACCCGGGAGTGTCCACATTGCAGGAGCGAAATAGGAAATTATCTTCCTCTAAACCTACAGGGTGGGGAAAGGTGGGAGTCCGGCGAAGCCCAGGCCTTAGAAACCAATTTCATCCGACAAATCCAAACAGAGAGAATGGACTTGGAGCAACGAGCTTACGGTATAATAAAAATTATTTATGCGTATGAGACATTTTTTTTTAAATACTTAAATTATTTTTCTTTCTATTTTTTACAGATCTCGATGTTGATGTTGATGACTTAATCAATGGCGGGGAAATAGAATTATAAATTTTTATACTTCTTGGCCAAATATGTATTAGATACATATGCATAGACAACAATATAATAATAAGAAAATGTCATTAAATTTTGATAGATAAAATTCGAATTCAATATTCAATAATGTGTACACCACGACTCTTATTCCCTTAAAATTAAATTTATATTAAAAGTGCGTTATGTAGATATGTAAGTTTGAACATTTATTGTTTAAATATAGTTGAAACGACTGCTCATTGAATAGTGCTAATTAATAAAAAAACTATGTGTTGCTGTAAATATGCTTGTTATTTTTACGTATTAATGTTAATGAAAATAACTTATCCCTTACTAAAACAATATATAAACGAAATTAAATTGAATTTTATACTAATTCAAAACTAGATGGCAAAAAATCCAATGCAGAGTATCTATGAATAAATGAAAAATAAATTCAAAGTTTAAGCAAGTGAACAGTTCAAGTCCAAAAAGAAATTGAAAAGCTAAATAATTTTTATAAACAAATAACATGCCTTATTTAAAATTCATTTTGTAAAAAAAATCTGAAACATATATTTATCTAAATTTGAAATCATTTTCTATTTTTTTTTGTGCCGAATAGAAATTAAATTTTTCCGTTCAAAAAACAGATTTTCAGCTTCGATTTCATAATTTTCGTGAACAATTATTTAATAAAAATATTGTGTTTCTTATAATGTGCAACTTTTTTTCTTACAATCTATAGAAAAATATCACATCGATTACTTTAATTGAAAGATGAAATAAGATTACGATATTGGGATTAATGGTTGTTTTTTTACGAACTTTGCATTAAATACTGACTTGTAATATTTATAGGCTTAATATTTTTTTTAGCTTATTAATATTACCTTACTATAACTATTATTATATTATTATTAATATATAATCAATACTATTAATATTTGCTTACAAATAATTTTTTAGTAAAGGTTTACAAGAAGATAAATACAAGTTGTCAGAATTTAATTCACCATCCCGTTTATGCTCGAATTTTCTATCAATGTAGCCACCTGTGTTCGTTCAATATACATTGGTAAGCTTAGTGCTATCTAAAAAACACCTTGTAAGTTTGAACATTTATTGTTTAAATATAGTTGAAACTGCTGCTCATTGAATAGTGCTAATTAATAAAGAACTTCGTGTTGCTGTAAATATGCTTGTTATTTTTACGCATTAATGTAAATGAAAATAACTAATCCCTTGTTAAAAACAAAAAAAAAATTCAAATTTGTCCATCAGACAAGAACCGCTGGTAATTCATGAGCAAATAGCTTTCACCGTGAAAATGATAACTACTTTTCCAATTTTTTCGTTTCTAGACAAGAAGTCTTTATTCAAACACATTGATCACACAAATTTTCGAAAAACGAAATAACTTGAATCTGGCAAAAAGAAACGAAACCTCGTTTCCGAGTCTATCACAGAGCTACTTTCAAAAGGACGAAATAGATAACATTCGAATATTATTTTCAATTATGTGTATTTTTCC